CAGCCCCCTGAGTAGCTAGGATTACAGGTGTGAGCCACCAGCACCCAGATAGATTTATTGTTTCTCCTATTTGGATCCCTTTTATGTTTTTCTCTTGCCTTATTGCTCTTGCTTGGAATTCCAGTACAATGTTGAAAAGGAATGAAGAGAGTGGGCATCCTTGTCTGGTTCCTCATTTTGGAGGGAATAGTTTTAACTTTTCACACCATGAAGTATAAACCAGGCTATAGATACTGGTGGCTCACACTTGTAATCCTAGTGACTCAGGAGTCTAAGATCTGAGGATCACAGTTCAAAGCCAGCCCTGACAAAAAAGTCTATGAGATTCTTATCTACAGTTAATCACCAAAAGTTCAGGGACAACACCCAGGCCCTGAGTTCATGTCCCAGAACCAGCACATAATAGATAAATAAAATTGAATATACTAGTCAGATTCAGAGAGACAAAGGGTACAAGCTTCTGTCATATGTACCAGTCTGATTTAAAGCATAAGCATCTATGAAAACACATACATATGCAATCAAATCGATGGATTTGTGGCATGCACAGGAGTGGATTGCCATAGTGTAACTTCCTTTGAAAAATAACAGTCAGTTTCACAAAAAGAAGATCAGGAAGCAGAAACATGTCTTCTCTGAGAGGGGAGTGAGGTCTCGGGGTGGCAGACAAATGGAGAGAGGAATGGTGAGCAAATACAGTGTAAAAACATTGAAATACTCTCAGTATTTGAAAATGTTTGAATGTTAAACATTTGAAAATGGAAATAGGAAACCAGGAAATGGATAGTGATGGGATAGATAGGAGAAAGGATGACAGAAATGGTGACTGTGGGACTGGGAAGGTGGCTCAGTGGTAGAGCGCTTGCCTTGCATGCCTGAGGCCCTGGGTTCGATTCCTCAGCACCACATAAGCAAAAAGAAAAAATCCAGAAGTGGCGCTGTGGCTCAAGTGGTAGAGTGCTAGCCTTGAGCTGAAGAGCTGAGGGACAGTGTCCAGGTCCAGAGTTCAGGCACCACAACTGGACCCAAAAAAAAAAAATGGTGACTGTGATCAAGATGCATTGTGTACAGAAATCGATATGTTAAATTGAAACTATCTCTTACAACTATTTGAAAATAATAATTTGAATATATAAATAAGTACATAAAATATATTACATCAGCTTCTAACATTAACAATTATTGTCCTATAAACTGGAATGATATTGTATATTTTTTCTTTGTTTTAGTTTTTAGTGGTGGTAGTGCCAGGAATTGAACCCAGGGCTTTGTACGTGCTAGGCAAGTTACTCTCACACTGAGCTACATCTCTGGTACCATACTACATGTTCTTGATAGTACTGTGCTTAGTTTATGTGGCAATATAAAATAATAGAGACAATTTTAAATATTTTACACTGAAAATTGCTGTATGGTACTCTATAATATATGGCTATGCCATGATTTGTGCCTTAAAGATACCTCAGTGTGTTCAGTTTCTCACTAAACTTTCTGATATTCTTAGGATACATTGTAGGAAGTGGAATTGCTGGATCAGAGCATACTCACAACTTTATTCTGATATAAATTAGTATTTTAAAAGGCTGTACAGGGCTGAGACTATGGCTCAGTGGTAGAATGCTTGCCTAGTATGCATGAAGCCCTGGGTTCGATTCTTTAGTACCACATAAACAGAAAAAGCCAGAAGTGGTGCTGTGGCTTAAGTGGTAGAGTGCTAGCCTTGTGCTGAAGAGCTGAGGGACAGCGCTCAGGCCCCATGACTGACAAGAAAAAGAAAGAAAGAAAGAAAGGAAGGAAGAAAGGAAGAAAGGAAGGAAGGGAAGGAAGGAAGGAGGGAGAGAAAGAGAGAGAGAAGAAGTATTTGTACTTCCTTTGTTTTTTCATTTCCTTTTTTGATGATACTAGGGTTTTGAACTCAGAGCCTTATACTTGTTAGGTAGGTACTCTACCACTTGCACCCTGGCTCCAGCTCTTTTTGCTTCAGTTATTTTTCAAATAGGTCTTGTGCTTATGAACAGGCTAGCATGGGCCAAAATTCTCCTACTTATGCTTAAGGTAAAACACAAAATTTTTTGCCTGGGCTGACCTTGAACCACTATTATCCTACAGTCTGCCTTCTGAGTAGCTCAGATTACAGGATGAGCCACTGTATTTCTTTTAGTGGGTCATGAGGCTTGAACTCAGGATCTAGGCACTGTCCCAAAGTTTCTGCACTAGTATCCTACCACTTTGAGCCATGTCAGTAATCCTGGTTTTCTGATGCTTCATTGGAGATGAGTCTCACAGGCTTTCCTGCCTAGGCTGGCTTCAAATTGCAATCCTCAGATCTCATCCTCCTGAGTAGCTAGGAATACAGGTATGAACCACCAGTGCCTGGTCCTTCTATCTTTCTTAATCAACTATGTGGTATAATTATAACTAACAAATATATTTCAAGCATACAGGGCAGTGAGTTTTGACCAACACATATCTGCATCCATGTAACTGCCACTTCAGCCAATAACTAGAATATTTCTATTGCTCCCGAAAAGCTCCTCTCTCTCTTGCACAGACACCTACACCTTTGCATCACTGTCTTCCATTTTAGACCACAGATAACATGGATGTTTTCTGTCAGCATAGATTATATTCTATTATATAGTTTTATACAACTGGAATCATGTATCTCTCCTTTAGGGGTCTAGATCCTTTTGTTCAGCATGTCTTCAAGACTCACCCTATTATTATCTTAGTGGTAATGAGTAAAATGCTATTTTATAAATATACAAAAGTTGCCTCTCAGATGAATTATTAGATCTTTGAGTTGATTCTAATAGATCATTATGAATATATATAGGCATATGGAAATGTTAATATATAAAAGTATATGTGTGTATGTATATATATATATACTTTATATATATAATATATAAAAGTATATGTGTGTATGTATGTATATATATATATATACTTACATATAGAGAGACAAACAGAGACAGAGAGAGGTACTTCATTCTCATACATGAGAGTTATATTGACTCTTGGTTTATCATCCACTGTTTCATGGCAAACGTATTTCAAGGCAAATGTGTTTCCCCAAGGAAAGCCCAGATCTTATTTTGGAAGCAAGTTAACAGGATGAAGCAATGTTGCAGGATATAATTTTCAAAGCATCTTGGAATGCTTTCTGGGAAGCACCTGATCTCTGTCCTCCTGTATCAGCTGCAAAGTGTAAGGCTCCTGTTGCTACTGCCCTTCTTCTTTCCACGTCTCCTGGCTCTGGAGGTGTCTAAGAATCCTGCCAAGTCAGTCCCTGTCCTGTCCCTTGAAATAGGAGGGTCAGAGGAGAAAATAACGACTGGCATCATGCTCTTTAATGCCAGATCCCCTAAATAGCTCCAGAAGTTGGTAGCAGGGTCAGGCAATCCCACGAGACACTTGAGAACCTGCCCAGTGGCCCCTAGGGTATTCTGTGCCCTCTTCTCAGCTTCAAGGGAAATATATCCTCATGGTTCAGAGTTTCATGTAGTGATTTCTAGGCCTATCTTGTAGAAGAAAAATGCAAACTTCTTTGGTTATTGTTGCAGTATACTCTGTGCTATACAGAGAGAGGGAGAGAGAGAGATCTAGCATTTTTATTTTGTTTTTGAGATATCGTCTCACTATCTTTCTCTCCTTTCTCTGCCTCCTGGGTGGCTAGGATTACAGGCATACGCCATAACACTCACCTATACTACAAACTTCTTAAGAGCAACAATCATGCCTTGTACACATTTTAAATGTGCAAAATACATAGTTGACTCATATATTGTTGAATAATATATTATGTAAGCCTGTGACATAGACTCCTGACTTAAAAATACTTAATAGAGTAGGTCTTTAATAATCCAATACCTAATAAAATATTTGTGGTGTCTGCTCAAGAACTGAGAATAAATGTGAGGCAATCTTGTCTTGTGCTTACAGATGTTGTACAAATGTTATCTTGTGCCCCTGTCTTCTGAAGTAGGAACTAAAAAAACTACCAGTAAACATTCTGCCCAGTTCCCCCTCTGTAGCAAGGGTCACTTTAAAGCAAAGTCTAAGCTTCTGAGATTCTAAGAGAAGTTTTCAGAAAATTAAACTTGGAAAGTAAGATAAACTTGGGGGCTATTTATCTTAAAAGCAATACGATAGGAAATACTGGGTATAGAGCACCTGGCATGAAGAAATAGTTCCTTTATTGCCTTATTACTTTATTTCCTTAAGAAATAAAGTAAGCCTCAGCTTTTCAGCTGAAGACAGACTTGAAGCAAGGTGCCATGGCTCATGCCTATAATCCTAGATACTCAGGAGACCAGGATTGGAAAGTTTGTGGTTCAAAGCCAGCCCAGACCAAATAAAGTTCATGAGTTTCAATCTCAACAAACAGTAGCAATAGTATGTGCTTGTCATTCCAGAAAGCACACACAGAAGATTACAACCAGAACAACCCAGGCAGAATGCAAAACATTCTCTGAAAAACACCCAAAACCAAATGGGCTGGAGGCATAACTTAAGTGGTAGAGTACCTTCCTGGCAAGAGCCAAGCCCTGAGTTCAAACCCTAGTATCACCAGTAAAAATAGAAAGGCCAGGAGCTGGCAGCTCATACCTGTAATCCTAGCTACTTAAGATGCTGAAATCTGAGGGTTGAAGTTCAAAGCCAACCTAGGCAAAAAAAAAAGTCTGTAATATTCATATCTCTAGTTTACCAGCAAAAAGCTAGAAGTGGAGCTGTGCTTAGGAGGTAGAGTACCAGCCTTGAGTGAAAAACCTAAAAGAGTGCTCAGATCCTGAGTTAAATCCCCAGAAATAGCACACTAAAAAAAGGAAGACTTAAAAGGAAGAAATGAGTAGGGAAGGAGGGGGGGAGAGAGAGAGAGAAGAGAAAGATAGTGATTTGGCTGGTTATGCTAGGAGATCTCGCTCTGTCACCGACTTTCACTCTCACCCCTGGCCCACAGAATGAGGTTTGTCTTGGACATATTTCTCTTCTCCCAGTTCACAGACATTGGGACCTTCGAGACAGTGTGGCAAGTCAAGTTCTACAATTACCACAAGCGGGACCACTGCCAGTGGGGAAGCCCCTTCTCTGTCATCGAGTATGAATGCAAGCCCAATGAAACACGCAGTCTCATGTGGGTGAACAAGGAGTCCTTCCTCTGAAGACAGTTCTTTCTGATGTTGCTGGACAGTCTCTCCAGAAAGCTACTTTTAGATAAACCAGCACAAGCCTTAACCAAGGCACACCAACACCGTGGCTCTTTCCTACCTGATTCCAATGACCTAACTAGCCCCAGTTATTGTGAAAGTGTAACTCCCATGATGCAGTACCCTTGACATAAAAGATGATGATGTCCTGCCCCGAAAATACTTCTTCCAGTGTTCTGTGCTGGTGTCTTTGCTCAGTTATGCTGTTAATTGCTGTAACTGGAGGACCATACAATCAGAAGCCTTGTCCTCTACTGGAGGCTTCTCTGGAATGACTGGTGTTTTGTTTCCAGAGATGAGTAACTCACCCTTTATTTTTTGTTCATTGTTAAATTAAGAAATAAAACCTGTGCTTGAGTCCCCCCATGTGTGAAATGATCAGTTGTAACCTGCAATGTTTGCCAGATCCGGAAGCAGGCTTTGTGAAAATGTAACACCAGCAGGCGTGAGCAGGGCTCTCAACCTTCCTCTCAACAGCTCAGCCTTTTCAGGGTAATGACAGTAAGAGGATGAATGTGTAGAGAATTATTTTTGAATGTGTTGATACTCTTTGAAGTAGCTCAAGCAAATGCGCTCTGGTCTCATGGAAATGGGATGAGGGGAGAGGAAGGGATGGCTGTGGACCACTGATTGGCAGGAGATTTAGGGTCTCTCTCCCATTTGGCAAATGTGTTCAAACGTGGCATCCTCCACTTTCCCTGTCACTTGAACTTTGTAAAACTGTGTATGGAACAGTAATTAACTTTTGATATTTCTTAATAAAGGTATTGAAAAATCATGCCTGACAATGATTTTATTGTTTTTTTTTTAGTTGTTTTCCGTGGTACTGGGGATCAAACTCAGGGTCCCACCCATGCTAGCTAGGCAAATACTGTACCACTGACTTACATCTCAGTTCTGGCAAGAGCTGTATAGCAGGTGGACCTCTGCTCCAAGGTATCTCTGCTGCATGGTGAAGGGATGTACCCGGAGTGGAATTCACACTCCAGTTTATTAGGGAGGCTCAAGCCAGCTCGAACAGGGTAGCATAGGCCCATGTGGAGGACAATGGAAATGTGCTCATCCCCATCCTCACTCCATTCCTCCTCCTGTGGTAACAGCTTCTTTGCTAGTCAGCTGTGCAGGTCAGCAGCAGGAGGGCAACATGTACACTGGCATTGAGACACCCTGCCTCTTCCCAGGGAGTCACAATGACCTGGCATAAAGTCTGTGTGCTTTTAAGTTCCATATGCAGGGAAGAAATTTCCTTTTAAAGGAAACATCCTACTTCCCAATAATATGGTGATATTCACAAAGATGTATGGGAATTTAGAAGCCACTTACGGGTGACTGTCTATATTTTTGCCATATAATATTATGCAAGGCTACTGGGATTATTTTTTTTGGGTTCGGTCCTGGGGCCTGAACTCTGGGCCTGGGTGCTGTCCCTCAGCTCTTCAGCTCAAGGCTAGCGCTCTACCACTTGAGCCACAGCGCCACTTCTGGCTTTTTTTCTTTTTGCTTATGTGGTGCTGAGTAATCAAACCCAGGGCCTCATGCATGCAAGGCAAGCACTCTACCACTGAGCCACCTTCCCAGCCCTGGGATTATTTTAGTAGGGTTTTTGTATTTTTTTAATGAAAAACAACTTGGCTGGGGAAAATGATGGAAGGCATGACATTGATCAAGATACATTGTGCTCATAAACTGATGCATTACTTGAAACCTCCTTGTACAATTACCTAAAGGTCATTTTTAAAGTACTTTAAAATATTTACTTTTTTAAGAATAAAAACTTGAAAGACCTGATACTCAAAAACCCTTCCTGACCTCTATGGCTTGCCTGCAGTCATGCTGTGCTACCACCAGGGAGCAGTAATAGCATGATCTGGGCTGAGAAATGGTGTTAGAACGGCATGTTTCTCAATTAGCTGGTTCCAAAATAATCCTGTCTATTATAATTGCAACCATAAGCACTAGCCCAGTCCCAATTACCACATTTTTAAAGCCAACATCACTTGAACAGAAACTGAGATATTTAAAACAGTGATTTTACTATATAGAGGCTCAAGTTTCCTTATAAAATATCCAATAGAAGACACAGAGGGCAATTAAAAGATAGAAAAACAAGAGAACTACTCATTTGGATCTATGTGTTTGATTAATAAATATTTTCATAGGTTTCAAGCTAGTGAGTCATCTCAGCGTGTTACTGTTTGTTTTGAAGGGTGGTAACAATATCATGACTTTTGCAATATTCTATGCTTGGGTTTTTATTGTTTTGTTTCTTTTTTTTTTAATGAGAGGTTTCATTTCAAGGTTAAAATGACTCAGGACAGGGCTGGGGAAAATGTGGCCTGGTATAACTTCTCATACCCTCCAGCAGAAGAACAGAAAGATGAATCCTGGGTGGGGGCTGGGTAGCGGTATGGCTCAGTTGGTAAAGCACCAGCCAATGAGCAAAAGCACCAGGTACCAAGTTCAAGTCCCCATTTTTGAACCAGGAAAAAAATAGAAAAGAAAAGATGCATTCTGGATCAGAAGAGAAGCCTGGGTGTATAAGTCCCAGTGGTGCCCAGAGAAGCTTGCCTCAGCTTGCTGCCATTGAAGGAAATTTCTAAAATCCTTTAAAGAAACCTGGTTGTGCCCCTCGATTTAAAAAATAAATAAAAAGTGTGTGTGTGTGTGTGTGTGTTCCTGCTGGACTACAGGCAAGGATGAATCTCTGGAGTTGGGGAGGTGTTAGAGATGAAGTAATAGAAAATATTAACAGCTAATCTGCCACGTTAAGTGATCGCTCCTGGCATATACTGTTCTCTACTTATTATTGGACTTGAGCCCAGTCTCTCTGGCTACTTTTCTGTAAGCTCTCCTCCTACTCCAAAATGTAAGTGCTCAGCTATATCAAGCTGCTGAGTTGTAACTTTGCCCCTCAGCCATCTGGAAGGGCTATTTTTATAGGAGTTGTAGCCACGTCCCTCTACTTTCAAGCATCAGATGGCTACCCAGAAGCTTGAGGAAGTAGGCCACCCTTCTGATTAGAATGGTGACTAAAACATTTTGAAACACGTGGAAGCGTAGAAATGCCTTGAATTTATATTTTATGACACCTTGCTAACGGAGAAGTCACTTGTCCAACCATCTAAACCATCTGGTTCACAGTTGAGCACAGAAAACGTGCCAAAAATAAATAAAAAGGCCTGTCCATAGATGTCAAAAAGTCCATTCACAAAAGGCTTGATCTTGTCTCCAGGCCTCAGAACTCCTACTTGTGGGGTGGTCTCATTTTTTGCTGTTTGAAAATTGAAAGCAGAACAATTAGTCAAAAAAAAGCAATTTGTAGAAGTATAAATGTGTAGAAAACAAATTCATCTCACAGAAAGAAAAGATGTAAAACGCATATGAAGTATATTAAAACATAAACTAAGGACAGCCACAGGTGATGGGGAAATCATCTTGTCTTACAACCACAGGAGTTTCTGCAGATAAAAATAAAAGTCTGTGAGATTCTTATCTCCAATTAACCACCAGAAAACTGGAAGGGATGCTGTGGCTCAAGTAGTAGAGCACTAACCCTTGAACTGAAGAATTGAGGGACAGTGCCCAGGCCGAGTTCAAGCCCCACAACCAATCAAAAATTAATTAATTGATTAATTAATTAAAATAAAAACTGGTGTCATTACTAATGGCTCTGATTCACTTAGGAAGACGGTCCCTTATCTCTGTAATGTATTATGAGAAGTTCAGATTCTGGAATTAAAATGCTTCCCAAAGCAGTGTTAAGGGCATTGTTTAAATGGTAGAACACTTGCCTAGCAAGAGCAAGGCCCTGAGTTCAATCTTCTGTGTTTTCTAAATGATAGAAAACAAGAAATATTTCAAATCCTGACCTACTCGCTAGTTAGTGGAATTTAAAACCTATGGTTTATTTCTGGAATTTTCCATTTAATATTTTTAGATGGCCAGTGACTGAAGATAACTGAAACATGTAAAGTGAAACTTTGAATAAAGGGTTCCACTTTACCCTAGATAGTAAATTATTTGAAGATGGCTTTTTAAATGTCAGGGCAACCCAACTAGAGCATTAGATCAGATGAATTTGAGGTTGTCTTTGGCATGTAATGAATCCCATGTTGCTGCTTGCTAACAAAAAACATTTTTGGCCCTATACTATTTTTGTAAATGTAGTCCTAATAGACTGTAGCTTCTGACTGCAGAGAATTTTTTTGGGGGGTCCGGTCGTGGGGCTTGAACTCTGAGCCTGGGCGCTGTCCCTCAGCTCTTCAGCTCAAGGCTAGCGCTCTACCACTTGAGGCACAGCGCCACTTCCGGCTTTTTTTCTTTTTGCTTATGTGGTGCTGAGGAATCGAACCCAGGGCCTCAGGCTTGCAAGGCAAGCGCTCTACCACTGAGCCACCTTCCCAGCCCCTGACTGTAGAGAATTTTATTCTCCTTCAGGTATTCCAAATCTGAATAGTTTCTTTTGCCACAGCACAACCTGTTCCCTCTGCCTGGAATGCCCTGCACCATTTTCTACCTAGCAAATACCTTTGAGTGCCAGCTTAAATGTCACTCCAGCTACAAAGTCTTTCCTGATTCCTCTAAAAGGTTGGGTCAAGAATCATTTTGAAACACTTTGTATTCAAATATTTAATACCCCATTTCTTAAAAGCGTCACCAGTCTTCTTCCAACTACCTTCTGCTTTTCTTCAGTTCTCTGAACTGCTTCCACATCATCTTACTGACTCAGTGAAAATGAGCTGACTCCATAAAAAGGTGATGAGATTCTAGAAAGAGCTGGCTTGCTGGCAGGCTGGCTGACTGGCTAGAATGCTAGCCAGCAAGAAGTTGGAATATATCAGCTTTTAGTAGGCGCATTCCCTTATTCCTTTTGAAGAAGACTTAGGATGAGAAAGAAAATGTTTCTTAATTCCCTTATTAGCAGTGTTTGACTTGTCATATGAGTAGTATCTCCAATGATGATGCCAAAAATGGTACATAGTTCTTTGAAAGAATGTATTTACATCAAGTAACCGATGTGCCACTGACAAGATGTTTCTAGCTCTCCCCCTGTAGGGCACATAGTAGGAATGTACCTCCATGGCTTGGAGTAGAACATGTGTCCATAGATACAGCCAATGAGTTGTGAGACATGCAAGTGTCATTAAAATATCCAACTGCCAATGTGATACACAACACAGCTCCCTTCCCTTTGCCATGGCAACCAGTCACTCTCCAGAGCATCTCTCATCCTGGGTCCTGGAGGGAGAAGATACAGGTGGAACCCTAGCCAACCTTTGCTAGATGTGCACCATAAATGAGGAACTTCTCTCCCAACATGTTACTATGAAAGATATAGACATATGTAGAAAAGTTAAAGACCTAGATGATGAAACAACACCCATATCTATCATATGGATTGCCCAATTCTGTACTTCTTCCAGGGCTTCTTTGTCCCTGTAGACTCTACCCAGTGTGTGTGTGTGTGTGTGTGTGTGTGTTGATCCTGAGGCTTGAATTCAAGGCCTGGGCACTATCTCGTAGCTTTTCTGTGTAAGGTGAGTGCTCTACCACTTGAGCCACAGCTCCATTTCTGGGGTTCTGGAGGCTAATTGGAGATATGAGTCTCACAGACTTTCCTTCCTTGGGCTGACTTCAAATGCAATTCTCAAGCCTGGCCTCCTGAGTAGCTAGGATTACAAGCATAAGCCACAAGCAACTAGTATGCCCCCCATTAAAAAAAAAACAAACTTTTAAAACCATCACTAAGACTTTAGGA